AATTAGAAATCTAAAAGAAATTTTGATATCCCCCATAATTTGGGGGCTACATTTAAAATTAACTTTTCGATTTAAAAAATCTAAACCGCTGCTCCGATCAAGATGATTTTTCGCTCAATAGTTATTCTATGGCCCAAATGCTTAAGTTTAATTTTTCAAGTTTTTAACATTTTTTTAAGTATTTTTAACGAATTTATTTAGATTTTCTAAGTCATTGCGTTGTATTTTGCGGGAGCCTGTCGAGAGAACGAAACCCAGAAGCCAAGAGAGCGACGGCCGAGAGAGCAACAGCCAAGAAAACTGATGAGGGGGAGGGGTAGTGCTGCAGGGAAAGGGGGAGGGGAAAGAGGCAATTTAAGTTAAATTTGTTTAGGATTTTAAAAACTTAAACTGCTGCTCCGATCAATATGATTTTCGATCAATAGTCAGTCCTGTGGATCAAATGCTTAGGTTTTATTTTTCATTTTGTAGCAGAAGTAAGAGCCTTATTTAATTTCCACCATGGAAGAAAATAGAAAATTACTACAAATTCTGTAAGCAAAGCCAAAATGTTTCCAAGTTAAATATTAATCTTAAGATTCGAACTTTTGACCAAATACGTATGTACATATGTATATTTGGATATTTTTTGATTTGCTTATATGTACAATACATGTACATACATACAATGTGTGTGTATGTTTCTATTCGAAAGTAGATAATGTGCTTAAATACAAATAAAATGATTTATTATACCCGTTTATCGATCAAATGTGGAATCTGAAAATAATACGTTACTTTGCTGTTTTTGTATTGGATGCCAATCTTTTACTGAGTGTACAAAGGTTTTTGTTTTATTCAAAACAAGAAATTGAAAATAACAAATTCCAATTTACAAACAAGTATACATATTTGTGCGCAAATTAAAATTGCATTGATAACTTTGTAACTGATAAAAAGTATACAAGCTCACGACTTTTACTTGGATCACTTTCATCCCTAAAGATTATAAAATGAAAGACCGATTTTTAAGGGGATACGGCCACAGCCCAAACCGTAAGAGCAAGAGCAGCCAAATTTTTTCACAGTATTCCATTGGGGGCGTGGGCGCCCACTAAGATCCGATATGTCCCCCCAGTGGCCCCAAACAGCTCCAACATCCATTATTCTGAGCAAAAAAAAGTTGATGTATTTAAGCTTAACTTCTAAACTGGTTGGAATTTCGATATTTGGTTTTTTCCGAATTTTAGGTTTTGAAAAGGCCTAATTAGAAATCTAAAAGAAATTTTGATATCCCCCATAATTTGGGGGCTACATTTAAAATTAACTTTTCGATTTAAAAAATCTAAACCGCTGCTCCGATCAAGATGATTTTTCGCTCAATAGTTATTCTATGGCCCAAATGCTTAAGTTTAATTTTTCAAGTTTTTAACATTTTTTTAAGTATTTTTAACGAATTTATTTAGATTTTCTAAGTCATTGCGTTGTATTTTGCGGGAGCCTGTCGAGAGAACGAAACCCAGAAGCCAAGAGAGCGACGGCCGAGAGAGCAACAGCCAAGAAAACTGATGAGGGGGAGGGGTAGTGCTGCAGGGAAAGGGGGAGGGGAAAGAGGCAATTTAAGTTAAATTTGTTTAGGATTTTAAAAACTTAAACTGCTGCTCCGATCAATATGATTTTCGATCAATAGTCAGTCCTGTGGATCAAATGCTTAGGTTTTATTTTTCATTTTGTAGCAGAAGTAAGAGCCTTATTTAATTTCCACCATGGAAGAAAATAGAAAATTACTACAAATTCTGTAAGCAAAGCCAAAATGTTTCCAAGTTAAATATTAATCTTAAGATTCGAACTTTTGACCAAATACGTATGTACATATGTATATTTGGATATTTTTTGATTTGCTTATATGTACAATACATGTACATACATACAATGTGTGTGTATGTTTCTATTCGAAAGTAGATAATGTGCTTAAATACAAATAAAATGATTTATTATACCCGTTTATCGATCAAATGTGGAATCTGAAAATAATACGTTACTTTGCTGTTTTTGTATTGGATGCCAATCTTTTACTGAGTGTACAAAGGTTTTTGTTTTATTCAAAACAAGAAATTGAAAATAACAAATTCCAATTTACAAACAAGTATACATATTTGTGCGCAAATTAAAATTGCATTGATAACTTTGTAACTGATAAAAAGTATACAAGCTCACGACTTTTACTTGGATCACTTTCATTTATTATATAGCTCTGCCAGTATCCTTCTGATTCTCTCTCTTGAAGGATCTTCTACAAAGGTTGTTAACACAAAGGTCTTCAAAAAAAGGGGCAAATAAGAAATAAGAAAGTCCTGACAACCCTAACTCCAAACTAATATTAAGTCGTATACAATACAAAAAGCGTTGGGGCTGAGATGGGTGAAATATTTTTTTGGATGCACCTGGAGGGACAGGTAAAACCTTCTTGACAAACTTATTGTTGGCAAAAGTTCGAAGTTAAAAAAAAATAGCCCTAGCTGTAGCATCTTCCGGTATAGCTGCTACCCTGCTCAATGGAGGTCGAACTGCTCATTCTACATTTAAACTTTCTTTGGATTTAGTTAATTTAGAAGCACCTCATTGCTCTATTTCAAAGCAATGTAATATGGCTGCGGTGTTTAAAGATTGTAAGTTAATTGTTTGGGATGAGTGCACAATGTCACATAAAGGTGGGCTTGAAGCCATAAATAGAACCCTGCAAGATATTAATGAGTACTATGTTGATGGGTGGTATTACAGTCCTGCTAGCTGGAGACTTTCGCCAAACCCTTCCTGTTGTGCCAAGAGGTACAAGAGCTGACGAAATAAAGGCCTGTTTAAAATCTTCATTTTTATGGCCACAGATAAACAAACTAGCGCTCACGAAAAATATGCGAGTGCACTTAAAAAGAGACAGTTCTGCAGGAATTTTTGCCGAAACTCTTTTAAAAATTGGGAATGGCGTCCATCCAACAGTTTATGGAAAAATAGTTATAACATCACGCTTAGGAAATGTAGTCAAAAACGTTCAAGACCTTACATCCAAAATATTTCCTGACATTTTCAACATATCATGTAAAAGCTTAGATTGGCTATCTGAGCGCGCCATTTTGACAACGAAAAATGAAAGAGCAACCACTATTAATAATTTATTGCTAAACTCATTTGATGGTTTAGAAGTCTCCTATAAATCGGTCGACTCTGTTCCTGATGCTGATAATGCTGTTCATTACCCTGTTAAATTTTTAAATTCTTTGAATCCTCCAGGAATTCCTCAGCATAATCTGTCTCTTAGGATTGGAGCACCCGTAATGTTATTGCGAAATTTAAGTCCCCCAAAGTTATGCAATGGGACACGATTGCAGATAAAAGGTCTTCATAAGAATGTAATCGAAGCAACAGTATTTACGGGGTGCGCGAAGGGGGAAACAAGAAACCTAAAAAGTTTCAGTGGAATAGGTCTAATTGGAGATACCACATTAAAAAAACGCGCCAATTTCTCTACCTCAGGGGTGGTGTGGAAATGGGAAAGTCATGATAACCGTACTCAAAACTAATTTTAAGCGAACGAAGTCGCGCCGGGTACAGCTAGTAATGAATAAAATGTAATCAATTGGGACTTGCGTGCAGTATACTATAACATTATTCGGCACTATTTTTTACGGACTCAAATTCGTGCCCCTTAAGCAAGTTCATTCAATCAAAGTACTTGGCCAACTGCCCCTGTCTTAGCCTCTTTGCACTCGCTGTCTTGCATTTAAAATTCGCACAACATGCCAGGCCATTAATCATTTTCGCAAGCAGCCAGCGAGAAGACTTGATTCCATTTTTTCGGGGGCAAAGATGAGGGACTCCGCGCAAAAAACAAAATGAATATTTTCTTTACTTCTTACGCAACGCTGGACACAAGATTGATGTGACATTTGTGCCGGGCTCTTGAGAAATATGGCAGCTCTTGGCAAGCTTCCCTTCCTTATACCCCCCCTCCACGGGTTACCACTCCTGGCAGCAATTGGCAATGAAAAATTCTAGCGCCAGCCAAAACGACATTTCAATTCGAAAAGTGCTCGACACTCTCCAGTCGACAGGCCCGGGAATCCCCCAACTTCCACCCCCCTCCCTCGGTGACAGTGAGTGCGAGAAATATTGCGCCCGCAGCATATTTTGGGTTTTGGGTTAACTTGCCTTCGACATTGGCTCTGACTCGCAGTTACAGTCTCAGTTTCGGTTTCAGTTCTAGTCCGACTCCCGCTGGATGGCAGCGGCAGACATCCTGGCACGCCATCTATCATTTCAGCTCTAAGGGTTGTTGATGGCCCCCATAAATTATTTTTGCACGCGCTTCGCGTTCCAAAACTACTGCGCCAAAAATATATGTATTTTTGCGCAGTGTAGCGGGAGGGGATGTCGGCCAAAAGCAATTGCAAAGCGCATTTCATTTACAAAACTTAAATATATTTATATTTGCTTTTTTCGTGGTAATCGTTGCAGCTGTCCTATCCTTGGGCATTTTAAAAATAAAAGGAAGGAGCGACAGTGAACGGGAAATAGAATGGAAAGGTTAAACCGGACTGAAAGTTACGAGAAAATAACTTTTATCCTAGCATAGTAATCTTTTTAAAAAACAAGCTTAACTTTAAGTAAACTACTTACTTTATTTTCATTTATTTATGTTTGGTTTAGCTTGTTAAGCTACGAAATTAAAATTAACGAATGTTTTAGTGCAAAAGTTTTAACTCAAAATATTTAAAAAGCCTAATAAAATGTAGAGCTGATTTAGAGCTGTCTAAAAATTGTATTATATTTTCAATAGTAAAACGGTATTTTCAGAAAGCATTTAAAAAAAAAAAAAAAACCATTTACAAATTTTATTGATTCTTGTATAATCTGTTATGTTATTTATAATAGTTATCGGAGTTTCAAAATCCAGTTTGGTGTTGGATCAAAATATCAGAGAACACCAAGTCATGAACATTCACTTTCCATCCGAAAATTGTCCACTCTACACAACTTAAAACTGCAGGCCTTGTAACGAATTTGATTATTTTTTTACACACTTTTTGCTGGACTATTTTCATTTTTTAATTGCTAGGAACAGCAAGATTGCGGTTTTTTAATATTTGGAGAAATTTAAGTCAAGAGCATTCACTCTCCATCCAAAATTTTGCTTTTCCATAAAGACTTCATTTTAAATTGCCAACATGTCCTCACCCCACAAACAGTTCTATAAAAATTATGGATTGGACTCCACAGAGATGCGTCGTCGTCGCGGGGAAGCGGGCATCCAATTGCGAAAGAACAAACGCGAGGAGCAGTTCCTAAAGCGACGCGGTGTTGACCTGAATCCAGCCACATCTTCCACATCTACTGAAATAGAAAGCAGCAACAGTAGCTATTTGCAGGTGGGATTTTGCTTATTTATTTATTCCTGTTAATATCCAAAGTCACACAATCTTGCTCCGCAGTCTGACGACATTAATGAGAGCAGCATTGGACCAATTGCCGAATCCGAAATCGACCAGGAGTTAATCCAGATGCTGTACAGTGGAAACGAGAGCGACCAGGTAAAGGCAGCAAAAAAGATCCGTTCTCTACTCGCCCGGGAAAGCGACCCACCTGTGGATGAGGTCATTAAGAAGGGATTGGTGCCCCAGTTGGTAACCTTTCTGCGGAACAACTCCAATACCACGCTGCAGTTCGAGGCTGCCTGGATCCTGACGAACATTGCCTCGGGCACCTCGTTCCAGACCAGGATCGTGATCGAGGCCGGAGCAGTGCCCTTTCTCATTGGACTGCTCGCCACCTCAAACGATGCCGATGTCCAGAATCAGGCTGTGTGGGCCCTGGGCAACATAGCCGGCGACTCGAGAATGTGCCGGGACCATCTGCTGAACTCCGGCATTCTGATGCCTCTTCTACAGTGAGTTAGGGTCTCAGATATATTCCTAATTTAGTCACATATTTATTTGGACTTCTTGCAGCGTGCTGGACAACTCGGAGCGCACCAATATGATCCGCAATTCGGTGTGGGTATTGTGCCATCTGTGCTTCGGCAAGAACCCGCCCGTGGACTTTACCAAAATCGTCTGCTGCCTGCCAATTCTGGCAAGATTACTGGACATCGACGATGTGGATGTACTCAAGCATACTTGTTTGGCCATCAGCTTTCTGGCTGATGGACCGAACAATCAAATCCAGGCTGTTCTTGAAGCGGGCGTCAGCCGTCACCTGGTAGAGCTGCTACTGTGAGTGTTTCCGTTTCGCCATTGGGTATCAATTAATTAATTATTGATTTTAGATATCCGCAGCAGAAAGTTTGCACAGCCGCTTTGAGGGCAGTTGCCAACATTGCAACCGGCGAGGATGAACAGATTCAGGTGCTTTTGGGCCATAATGTACTCGTCAACATTTCCAAGCTATTGCACTCGCCGTGGAAAACAATCAAGAAAGAGTCCTGCTGGATTATCTCCAATATTGCGGCCGGCAATCGAGCGCTGATCCAGGCGCTGATCGATGCCGGCTTGTTCACCCAGCTCATAACCATCATGAAGACGGCCGAATTCAGGACTCGGAAGACGGCAGCTTGGGCCATCGCCAATGCCACCAGCAACGCATCCTGCGAACAGATCCTTTACTTGGTCCAGGTGGGCTGTCTGCCTCCTATGTGTGAATTCCTCACCGTCATGGACTCGGACATCATCCTCGGAGCCCTAAATGCTCTGGAAAACATTTTGAAGGCGGGTGAACATTTCACCCCGGGACAAAATCCTTATGGCTTAGCCATCGAGGAATGCGGTGGTAAGGGAATTTGATTCAACGGGGTTTAGATATTACACCATTATATCCAACATTAGGTTTGGAAAAGATAGAGTTCCTGCAGGGTCACGAAAACCGGGAGATCTACCAGAAATCTTTTGATATAATCGGTCGGTTCTTTGAATTCGGAGAGGAGGAGAGCGTTATGGCACCCGAACAGTTCACATTCGATCCCCACAATATGCCCACCGGCGGTTTTAATTTTTAGTACAAGCCTGGCAGGAGACTAATAACTATCATCATGAACATCAGCCACAGAAGGAGCCATTTAAGCAAAGCTTCTTAACTAAATTTGTTTATTGAGCCGGGTTTATTTTTAATTTTGTTAGACATACTCGTCTGCATGTTATTCCAGCGATTAAAAATTTAATACCACCCACAATCCTGAATTGGCTATTTTTTTGTATTTATTAAATTTGTTTTTTAATTTATAATTTTAGACTTTAATTAAGTTTGTAAATATTTTTAACTAAGCTGTAGACACTGACCTTGTGTTTCAACACATTCATACAATAAAAAGTGCTTTACGATTATATTTTGTAACGCAAACCTTTGCCTGAAACTTCGTTTAATTAATGAAACGTCAATAAAATTCTTTAATTTCGTGATAACTCCTTAAAAAATTAATTGATACGGAAATTTTTTCGACTGAACTAACGTATATATGTATTGAGCTTAACCTTGGAATTTTTGGGTGTTACTCTACGAGAAAAAGGGTACACAAACATTGATTAAGTTGTCCAACCCTATTTTAGTTCCCAGACTTACCAATCAAGCCTCAACCCATTCAGCTGTCTATAAAATGCTTCCCCGAACTCACTTTTTGGCAGTGCCTTAAGCGGTTTTGCACTCGCCTTGGACATCAATCAAATGGGCATTAAAACATATTCCTGAGCCAAGGCCCGAGTCCAAGTCGAAACCTCATTATCGTGGCGGGGCATTAATCAGCTGGACACCGACAAGTCGCTGGCCAACCCCCCGGATGACTCTATTCTCCGTACTCCCGAATGCCCACACCACTCAAATATACTGGAATATTGTTGCGGTCAACAAAGTCCATGGCTTTATTAATTGCTGCTCATTAGCGCTCAGGGCCCATCGATCAAAGTGACCACAACAGCGCCGGAGATATGTATATATACACGGTGTGTGCATGGGAGTAACACGATGACCCACAGATGCAGATAAAACATAATTTAGTGGCAGCCAAGTGCAGATAAGCCCTGTGGCTGCCGTCGCATTGACAAACTGCAGACAGGCGCCCATGGGCGAGGATGTGGTACATGGCGGGGAAAATAGGGGGAAAGTGGGAAAGTCGGGGCTCCAACTGGCCATTCTCTCTGGGCGCCTGGCATCGGAAACTTTGTCGCCATTGGACATTATCGCAATTTCTAATCGAAGGCCCAGCAGCAGCGGCGGCAGCAACAACAGCTCATGATTGAAATTCAAGTCTCGCCCAACTACAGAAACATAATAAATGACCTGCGGCCGCAGCGGGAAACCCGAAAAACAAAACACAAAAAAATAAAACCCAGAACAACAAAACAAGCGAAAGGCATAGCCGTAATCAGCACTTGTAACTGAAAACCCCTCGGGTCAGGAGGATGGGGGCGTCCAGCGGAGGGGATCCACATCCACCAGGCCGGCCGATGGGCATGTGTAAAGTTTCCGAGGCGGAGGACACACTAATTAGTGGCCATTGATCATTCGGCTCTGGCGCCTGGGTGTGACAACCGAATTTCTTCGGAAGGAGTCGTTTATAGTGGAAAAGACCAGAGCCGATCGAGATCGATTCGGAAAATACACTTACTAAAAGAAATAACTTCCTATTGTATCCAATTTAAATTATTTACTTTGACAAACTTTTAAAATATGTTTCCAATACAATTAAGTAAGTCGCTGTGTTAAATTTATACTTTTGGATATCAACTTTTACATAATTGTTTTCTTTTTCATTTTTATCAAGGTGTTATTACTATTATTATTACTTATTCCCTGTGATTACTTAAACAATCATATAGAATTTATAATTGGTATTGCATAATAAATTTCCGAAGCATGTATCTATCCAATACTTATAGGAAAAATAATCGAAACATCTATCCGAATTCTATATGTAGTCATATTACTAATCCATCGTCAAAGTTAACATACCCTAATACTTTAAAGTCCCAAAAATATTCAATTAAGTCATTCTTATCCCTTAATCACATTTAAGAATTTTGTGCATTTTGAATAATCACCATACTCATAATGATAGTCATCTGAATTTTGTATTCCCATTTTCATTATCGGGGTTGATTTCTCGGCGACCCTTTGGATCCGCATAATAGAGCCATTTGACCCTGCGGGGGAGAATCGTGGTGCTGATGGCTGGATAGCTGTACGGCTGACAACTTGAAGTTTTAATTGGGTCTCTTGTCGAGCGGTTATTCTGGTGACTCCCCGCCAAGAGGCGACTCTAATTAACCGCACAAATATGTAGAACATTGCCTCAATGTCCCCCCATCCAGAGCCGCCCATCACGCCACAACCAGAACCAAACCGGCAGCTCATAAACATAATTCACAAACGAAAATTCAATTGGCCAAAGCTTAAGCACTCGACTCGGCTCTGGTCTTGGTCTTGGACTTGGAGTCTTGTAAGGGCGGTCAAAGTGCCATAAATAAATTAAACCCATTTAACATGCGTCATAAATTTATAAACAATACACCCAAAGCTAATTAGCCGACTCGAAAATTGCTACGAACGTGGCCAAAGTCGAGGATTGAGGGAGGAAGTCAAAGGAAAGGGGTGGCCCTTTTGTCTCGGTGAGCCAGAGTGCAAGTGTTGCCAACTGCGGATGGCATTACGTTCTTTGGGGTTCTCTACTCTATAGACAGTGGAATGATTTAAGATTTAAGTCTGATAAATTTGGTTTTTTAAGACTATATAAGACGTAGTTTCTTTTAATGGCCAAACTGTTTTTTTAAAATATTTTCTTAAAAGAATTAATTTATATTTTGTAAAATGTTTGTAAATTTAAAAGCTTATTTTTATTTAAGTAGAAATATTCTTTCTTGGTAGAATTATATCATTAAATTTTTAATCGAATTAAATACAAATGAAATGAAGTACAAAATATCATAAAAGGCAGCATTTAAAATGGCTTATTCGTAGAAATTTCTATTTGAAAATAATGTTTATGGTTTGAAACCACATTAACCACTGCCTGTGTGAACCAAGACCATATTCGATCTGAAAGGATGGGAAAAGTGGTGTTTTTGGTTTTCAGTAGCTGCGAAAGCCACAACGACCACAGTTGTCCGTTGGCCATTCGTTTTTGGTTGTCTTTCTTTTTTGGCTGTTTGGCTGGTCGCTTGGCTGACTTGCTTCATAAATAAAATGAATTCGTACTCAACCCGACAGCCATAAATAATAAAGTGCAAAGCACCACCCCCTCGACCCACCTCGTCACACCCACTTCAAGTCCAAGTCTGGTCACTGGATGTTGGTGTTTTTGTTGCCGCCGCTGCTGGTTTTGGCCAAGTCAATTTCCACAAAGGCAACACTTTCTGCTCGGCGAATTTTAAGATTTACGCTGACACTTGACAAGGGGCAGGGAATTGGGGGCTGTGGCCGCCAGCCCAGGGTGCCCTGATGGCTCGAGCTCAGCTGTTTGTCATTTCCTGTGAATTATGTGGTGTTGGTTGCGAATGGATGCTGTTGCTGCCCGTGCTTGTTGACTACCGTTTTGTCTATGTCTAAATGAGGGGAGAATATAACTTTAGTCTTCAAAATAGTATACTTCACCTTTTGAGAACTTCCATCGCCAAGTTAAGCGAATTTGGATGCTCTGCAAACTATTTTACTTGGCTTTATTATTATTTATTTAAATATAGTGTAATGTAATTATAAAATTTATAAAAAATTTTAAGTTTGCAAATGCTATTTTCAAAGTATAAATTAGAATGTATTAATACATATCCTTTGGTTTGCTAATGCATCGCCAAGCTAACTTATTTTGTATGCTCTTCAAATGTCTCGACTCTTTTTTGGATATTTTAAGAACTAAATCTTATTCTATGTAGATATTATTACTTATAAAAACTGTGTTCATTTCCAAAAAAGGATTTTGAATATATCAAAATATATTCTTTGGTGTATCTTCAAGTGGTAATTTTGTTACAACAAGAATACTATTTTCCCAACCCTTTTATGAAATATTTTTGACTCCACGGATAAGTTTGTTTCTACCCCAAAAAACACACTCTAATTCGACGATCTTTGTGGGGGCGCAGACACTCTGCCTCCCATTAACATAACTCAATGCGTTCGTCGACAGACAGACAGCCCTTTTCGGCTTTCCTGGCTCCCTTCTGCGGTCCCTCGCCCCTCGGACTGTGTCAGGTCGTAAACATTTGCTTTCTTTGGTTTTTAATTGGATTTTATTATGCCAAGCCGAAAGTTAGCTGCCTGATATATTTATGATTATTATGTTTGCGCCGTGTCTCTGGCCGTATTTCTTTATTCGGCTTTTGTTTTCGGTTTCCAGGGCACCCAAAGCAGCCAAGTGGATCTGTTCAAGGAGTTGAGATCGTGAGGAGTGACTATTATCATTAAGATAATTAATTTTTTAGAAATATTACTATTCATTCAAATTTTAATAAGTTCATGGATAATAAAGTATAATAACTACATGTTATTAATAAAAGTATCACATACATTCAGTACAAAGTCTTACATTTTTAACAAGATAAAAGTTGTGGTTATTATTAAGAAATGGATATGAAAAATTTTTAATTTAATTTTCAATTTTTAAGGATAATATCAATATCAACAAGCTTTAATTATGACTCTTGGTTGGGTTGGGAATAAGAAGCATATTGGTATGCATTTAAAATTAAATTTTGAAAATAGTTAATATCGAGTATTATATTTGTCCTTATTTAATGCAGCCCTGGCTCCGGCACATTTTGTTTAATTGCCTGGATGAACAACTAATTTGGAGGCAGTTCAAAAGGCCAGCCGGCAAAACAGATCAAAATTTATATGCATGCGATGGCGGTGCCGTTGCCGTTGCCGATGCATGTGTAACGGCACTTAAAGAACCCCATCCCCCAACCAGACCGACTAACCCAGACCATGGCGGACCATATCATCCATCCCCGCGGAGGGGAAAGATAAAACGTGGCGCTCACACAATCCCTAAACGAGGGGAGGAGGGGTGGGGCCGGGGAATACATTTAAATTTATGCGGTTTTCGGCTGTGCGGGGGTGTCTCTGATGTTGCCTTTTGTGCAGTCAACAATTTTCATGCTTGAGCGATTGCCACGAAAAATGGAGAGTGGTGCCAGAGGGACGGCAGCGGACATAATTAGTTGAAACGGAAGCTAATTTA